AAAATAAAACTTTTTCAATCAGCATTTTATACTTATGAAACTTCAACAATTTTATTAATACAATTCTAATTCTCGAGAAAAGAAAGGAAGCAATTTTTCCATTATCCAAAAGTACTTAATATTCATAAAGATTTATATTAAACATTTTTTCCCTCTTTTAAAATTGCATTACATGAAATTTATCATTCATATCATTTAAATAAAAATTAAAAAAATATATAATATATACTGTATATATTTTTTCTCTTATTCTTATTAATTATTTTTTAAAATAAAACTCTAATCATAAAGCTTTCTGTTTTGAAAAATAATTAATTTTGATAGTATTTTATATAATAAAATATTTCTAGATAAATATTGTAATTACAAATTTTAAGCAAAGAAGTAGACATTTTAAATTCAAATTAAGAATAAGCTATTTTATGTTATGTAAGAATTATGTATTGAAAATACAAAGAGTTATTTAATTATATGTACTGTATTTTAAGTATACATTTTAAAAATAATTATTAAAAACTTGATTTCAAATTCATTTATTACTTTTCCATACGAACATAATTGAAAATTTAAGTTTCTCTAAATTTTCTATTAGAGTTATGAATAACAGCTATTTTTCTAGTTTTATGATTTTTCTATTATCTTTGTGCAAAAATATGAATTTATTATAACTTCAATTGCAGAAAGTGACAAACTTCAATCGAATTTGTCAGTTTGAGTTTTCCGTTAGAGAATTATTCATTTTCGTTTTAAATTCATAGGATTATCTATAATTTTAAGTGATATTGTTCAATTTTATCTTTAGAGTTTGCTATTTTCAGTATGTAGTTAATCTATATAAGCTGACAATTTTATAATATATTAATTCAGACTATTCATTTTTATACATAAAAAGCAACGAAATATTTCAACTTTTATTGGATTTTCTGGTCATAAGGATAAAATATAATGAAAATGCCAATGTCTTACATATAAGGAAATTATTGAAATTTAACCCAACTTATCAAAAAGAATTAAATTTTTTTTTATTTAAACATTGATACAGTGCTGAGAAAAATAATTTAAGGAATATATAATACGAATAATTGCATATTATGACATCGTCCCAATACCAGGTTGCAAAATTTGAAAATAAGCCTTTCATATCTGGTTTTGATTTCCATCTAACTGGTTCTGAAGATTAACGAAGGACGGACAGATAGACGAACTAACGGACAATAATAGATGTAAAGGTCTTGCAATTTGAAAATTACAGTCCAATAACTTTTAACAGTCTACTCATAAAATTTTGTGAGTAAACATTTATCAGCATTTAATTCATTTAATTATATGAAATGTTTTACAATAAAATGTAGCTTATGCACAAATATAATTTATTAAATAATAAAACAAATGTTTCGTTTTATTATATTAATAACTTTTCTTTTCAATATAAAACCAATAAACAAACAACATAATACATTTTATAGGAATTTAATAATGTATCTAAACGTATTCTGAATTTGAATTGGTTATAGGAAGATATTGCTTTTGAAGTGTCCTCAAGAGTGATAAAAAATAAAAATCTTTAAAAATATAGACGATCCACTAAGATAAAAACTATGTTTATAGATTCTAGATATACTATTTTCCAAAACACATTTATCATTTATTGAAGGATGACCTCAATGATAGACATTTTGGTCGAAAATGCTGTTTCTTTACATAAAGTACTGTGCTTTTTTTATGTAAATTTAAAATGTTCCAAAGCTATTTAATTTTTATATAAAATTAATAGTTAAAGTATTTTTATATTAAGATTATTTAAATAAAAGTTGTAACGCAGTAAAGAAATAACATCTTTTAATTTATTTCTGAAAATATTTATACAGAAATAATTATTAAATATAAAAATACTACTTGAATTGTTTATTACAATTTCTTACCACCCTTTTTTAAATACGCACGTTTTTAAATAAATTGATTAAAAATATAGGTATGTGTACATATACTTATGATGCACAATATGATATATTTATGATCAATTATACTGTGCTTTAAAACGATTATATTTTCTTGTAGAATTTCGTAAATAAATTTCAAATGTTGATATGAAACTAAACAATTTAACTTAGTTATTAATTTACATCATTAATTTAATATTGGCGAGAAATTAATAATAAGCTAATGATATATTCATAAAGCTCCAATGGAAATATAAAAAATATTTTAGCATTTATTTATAATAATAATAATAATAATGTAAATTTATAATTGAGCAATCTTCTAATACTAAAATCTATAATTTAAAAACTTTTTATGTTAATAAAACTAGAATCTTTTTGAATTTGTCATGAAATATTAGAACTTTAACAATGCAATTATCTTTCATAACAGTGTAAGCCAACGTACTGGAAGTTAGATTTGTTGTAAATTTAAGTAATCCAAATTCGGTAATGTTATAAAGTAAGATATAAACAAAACATTACGAACAAACAAAAATAAAAGTTATATAATGTATCAAATTATATGTTTAGATTATAAATTACAAGGAAATTTAATATATATATTTTTTCTATCTTCTCATCTGTTAACGTTAATGAACAACTAAAATAACAGATTTCTGTAAAACGATTTTATCAAATTACGATGAGTAATGAACTTGTTAGGTGTGAGAAGATAAAAATGAATGCGCTGCAGAATATAAATCTAACTTTATAACACAAAGAGAACTAATTAAAATGCCTTCAAAATTATAAAATTGATTAAACTCTGAAAGAAAGTGTCTATTAATAAAATGTAATTATCAACATTTTTCTATAGNAAGTGTTCTTATGATTTACAGTGTAAAATTTGCATTACAACTAAAAATTGTCAAAATAGGGAATAAAAATTTTGTTAATCTAACAAGTATTTATAATTACGTATTGATTTTAATTTTAAAATTCCTTGTTTGTAATCAATCGAAACTTCGATTAATTAATTTTAGCTACATTGAAGTTTTTGAATAATTGCTTTTTAAAAATCCAATTTTATACAAAATGAAAATTATCATGTTTTGAGTAATCTTTAATCTAAAACTTTTTCCATATCAACATTTATAATGGTTTTAAATTGATTTCATAATTTTAAAGAAATTATTCATGAATAATTTATGCCTCAAAATAATCAATTTCCAATATACGATATTGATATCGATATAAATATATTAACTATATATCGATATTATCTGAAAATTTATTTTAGATCTGAAATTATCTGATCTCGGTATTATCTGAAAATTTATTTATTTTATCTGAATTTTTTATTTTTTAAAGAACATAGAATAACAAATAGAATCTATAAGTCTAGTTTATATCTTGAAGGCTATTCAGGATTTTTATTTTCCTAGAGGAAAAGGATTCTTGAGTTTCCAATAAATTTAACTAATTTAAAACCAAATAACGTTTATTATGTTACTTAGATAATAGATAATAATTTAATTATCACATTAGCAATATATAGGCCTACAGTAAGTTACATCGAATCTTCATACAGCAAATCTTTAAGAAACAATAAAAGCTCTACAGTCTACAGGATGTAATTTCGATTTTACTGCTCTTGACGCATAATCCAATAATGTCAATAATATAGATGTGTTGATATCTCAAATAATTGGACGTTATGTCCAATTAATATAAATATCAACACATCTATATTATTGACTTATTACTTCTGTACAACAAATATATATATATTGATACAAGAGATTTACGATATGAGAAGAAAATATTTTCATAATAATCATTGTATTTTATAAACAATATATTATCAAAATCTCTTTCTAATATTCATCAGTATTATTCCTTAGTGATTGTATATAACCTAGACTCTTCTCAAAAATAAAAACTGCTATTATAAACAAAGAAAAGGAAGCAACATTATTAAAACAAACTGTAAAGATATACAACTGAGATTTATATAATTTATTATTCGGAGATTTCTTCAAATAAAGTTGCAATATTTCTTTGTAAAAGTGTAAGAAAAGTCGATTTGATTTTCTAATATATTTTAAAAATAATTATTAAAAACTTCAATTTCAAATTCATTTATTACTTTTCCATACGAACATAATTGAAAATTTAAGTTCCTCTAAATTTTCTATTAGAGTTATGAATAAGAGCTATTTTTCTAGTTTTATGATTTTTCTATTATCTTTGTGCAAAAATATAAATTTATTATAACTTCAATTGCAGAAAGTGACAAACTTCAATCGAATTTGTCAGTTTAAGTTTTCCGTTAGAGAATTATTCATTTTCGTTTTAAATTCATAGGATTATCTATAATTTTAAGTGATATTGTTCAATTTTATCTTTAGAGTTTGCTATTTTCAGTATGTAGTTAATCTATATAAGCTGACAATTTTATAATATATTAATTCAGACTATTCATTTTTATACATAAAAAGCAACGAAATATTTCAACTTTTATTGGATTTTCTGGTCATAAGGATAAAATATAATGAAAATGCCAATGTCTTACATATAAGGANAAAATTGTAGTTTATGCGAAATAATTAAATTTACTAAAATATTTATTAAACAAATAATAAATATACAGAACAAATGAGTTGATATTTTAGGAATTGTATTGAAAGATTTCAAAGATAAATTTATTAAAGCTTATGTTACTGTTTAAATTATTTTAGATACTCTCGCAAATGAAAACTTGTTTTCATTTTGTATTTATTATATTTTCTATTTCTAAAAATAATTAAAATGAGTTTACAGTTTTCATTAAATTATAATCCTTAAATAGTTATAACAAATTTAAATTTGAAGTGTTATTTCTAAAATACTTGTAAGAAATATATAGAAAATCTGTACAACGTCATGTAATTATAATTGACTGCTGTTATTCAATAAAAGTAAATGGGGTAAATATTTACAATTGAATTATAATTAATAAAATTTACCACATTAAAATATTAAAATATTTTAAAGATATATTTGTTAACATTTTAATTACATGAATTTATTATTTACCATGTTCCAGGGTTTGAATGATGATCTCTTTAGAACTTGGCCCTGCTCCTTTACTATTAAATGCTTGAACTGTTATTACATATTTTGTAAATCTGTTTAAATTGCTTAAAGAAACTTCTCCTTCGACATCTTTTCCAATTTCAACTGTTTTATACACAAATGGATCCGAAGAACTTAAGTCCTTATAACCAACATAATATCCCATAATTTCTCCTTGATGAGGTGACACAGGGGGTGGCTAAAAAATATGAATTATAATTAGCATAACCTAAACATATACCCATAAAATATTATGATGTATAATAAAGAAAAAAATATTTAAATAAATGTTAAATGAATGTATACATGTAATTTTCAAGATTCTGGAAAAATATATTTAAAATTTCAAAGATAAAAATTGAATATTTATATGAAATTAAAGAACAGACAATTTGGGAAATTGAAGAGAAAAATGTTTATAGCTGAAATAGTTTAAATTTTATAGAAGGAAGATAGAGACCCTAAAACGAAGTAAAAAACAAATATCAATACATTTACATTATCTTTACGTTATATAAAATGAACAATTTAAATGCATGACATGGTTTGTGAACTCGAAAACCAATTTCCGTGGGATATTATTATAAAGTTATCACTACATTAACGCTGCCACATAGAATTTAATTTTCGCTACAGAATTAATGTACTGTTAATAATACAAAATGCATATACACGAACATTATTACACTAGAATATTGATTTTATTCAACTGAGTTTCAAGAACACTCTTATCAAAAAAATAAAAAATAAAATCATTCTTTAACATTTGTTATAAAGTATTAAAATTTCCAACTTAAAGTTAGAAATTTAAAATATTAGAATAAATTTCGTTCTTTCATAAATATCGTAATTAAAATTTCATATATAAATTCATATATTCATAAATAAATATTTAATAATTTAAAAATTTCCAGAAAGTATTTGAAAAAAATTCGTAAATGTAAGATAATATTAAAATATTGGCAATAACTAAAAATGAATAATAATAAATAAATCAATAAAAATAATTATTAAAACAGATTTATGTTAAATTGAAATTTTAATTTTTGTATATAAATTTAAAAAACATATTGAATTGATATTCAAAATGTTTTTTTAAATTTAATTTCAATAAGAATTAATGCTAAAAATTTAATTTAAAAATTCTAAAACAAATGAAATAAAATAATAATGAAAAATGTGATTAAAAGTAAAGTAATACACAAATCTTACTTTACTTTTACTATCGTTCACAGTATTTATTAACATCTTTAATATTTTGTAATCTATATAAATGTAAGAAAAATTATATAAAAGTTTATAATTATATAATTATTTTAAAATATAAAATTTATATATAAACTTTATATCTTAAAAATTTTAAGATATATTTTCAATTCCTCTCTAGTTGATCATTGAATTTGTGCCATTTCACATCATCCGAGTGTCGCGAAAAACGTGACAATGGTAGGCTGAAATAACCAAACTCTTTATATGGTTTTTGTTATAATGTTCGTTATATTGTAGTATTTGATTTATATAACTACAATGGTTATCTTACCTAAGGATTTATCACACCGAGTGACTAATTTAACACAGTTTAAAAATTCTTTATTCCGCTGTACACAATTTAAAAAATTTTTAAAATATGTTAGATTTGGCACTCGGTGTGATAAACTCTTACGTAAGATAACCTTTGTAAATATGAATCAAATACTATAATATAATACAAGGATTAGAAGTATGAAATAATGTAATAATCTTAATCTTTGTTGTTATTTTTTCCCCAAGCAACGCCGAGCTCATCTACTAGTTAATTATATATATGTGTGTATATTATAGAGGTATATATTAAATATTAATGTGTATATATATATATATA